GGCGGAGGAAGCAGGTGCTTAGAATGAGGAGGGACCGTGGTGTGCGGTCCCTCTGAGGTGGCAGCGAGCTGAAGGGAGAATGCAGCATGTTGGTGGCATGTGAAGAGATCACCTTCAGGTCCCTCCTTCCCAGGGCACCCAGGCCCACCTGTAGGGTGACTTGGCTTATCCTTTGACCTTTCGCTGAGGCGAGCCTGGCCTCTAGAATCTGGGCTTGGCTCACCACCCTGTGCTGCTCAGTGTCGGGGTGGGGACCAGGCCACCCTGTGAGCATTATGGACATCAGACATCACTACCTGAACTGAAGTCCGTGGAAGTAACTCCCTCAGCTGCCCACCGAAATCCGCCCTGTTTCTCCATGGCCGCCACCGGGAGGGTCATGGCTTTGGTTTTTCACTATACAGTGTGGAAACACCTGCAGGCTTCCTTTTGGCAGTGCCTTGAGCTCCTTTTGAGAAAAGTGTTAGGTCACTGGTGTGCCTGAAACCAAGTCCGTGGGGTCCTGGCAGAGGGCATCCGGCTCCCCCCTTCTCTCAGTGCTCTCAGCGGCTCTTCAGGGGAGGCTGACAGCCGCCCCCAGCGCCCCAGAGTGACCAGCCGGGTCTGGGTCACACAGAAATCATGGGCGGTCTACATTTTCCCATGCAGCTCTGCAGTTTTTCAAACGTCTCACACTGGAAAGTTGTCCTGATCACATTTCCATTGCAGGGCCTACCCCATGGGGCGGGGTGGGTGTGTGAAGCCATCAGGTGCCCATTCCATGGTTCCCAGTCCTGGGTGGCATCGCCATCTGTCATTAGTGGGTATTTCTAGTAGCTGAGCCTCGGAGGATTAGAAATGGAGACTGGCCCAGGGGTCACACGCCAGCTGCCATTCTTGGAGGAGGGAAGGGTTCTGAGGGGTGCTCTTCATACAGCCACAGGCCTAAAGGAAGTCCTGCTATTGGCGCCCACAGAGCCCCCCAGGCCAAAAGAGCATGCCGCTAGGCGTGGGCTAGAGTTCTCCCTGTGGCAGGGCTGGTGCTAGGCTTGGGCTCTCCGTGGCTCCTTGGAGATGCAGAGAATTGAGTCATTTGTCAGAAAAGCGGTCTTGGGAATTAAGGATTTGGGGAGACCATGTGGCTTATCCGATAATTTTAGAAGTACAGAGCCTGGTCACTGGCTGCCTGGTGCCTGGTCCAGCAGTCACAGTGCTGGACTTGGATTCCTGGTCCCCTGTGTCCTGGTTCTGTGCACACTACCACAACACATTGTTTGCTTTTGAGCATGGTTTGTTAAGAATGCAGTCCATGATTTGTCATTTGCAAAGCTACTTTGAGAAGTAGCAGAGAGGTGGGGTCATGAAAGAATTCTCTTTCCTTTATGACAAGATTACACACCACAGTCATCAGGGTGTTGGACCCGTGACCCAGCGAGGGAGGTGTAGCCCATCACACTCCCATTTCCTGGACTGGGGGACTGAGGCTAAGTAACTACATTACATGGCAAGAGTGGAGCTGAAATGGCAGAACTAGGTCTTCTGACGCTGGTGCTTGCTTTACGGGATCTTTAAAAATGACTGCACTTCAACACCTGTGTAGGCTGCTGTTCCGGAAACTAAATGGTCAGGCACGCTGGTGAAGAAAATTGGAATTCCTTATGTGTGTTTTCAGTAGTGGGTTTCTGCTTTTAGACAAATGGAGAACAGGAGGTGTCAGAAACCTGTTTTGAACTGCCCTGTGCTTGTTCCTGCGACTGCTGGGTCCTGGGAGGCGCTGCCCAGGTGGCTCTTTGTGGGAAGATCTGCCTTGTGTGAAGGGTGGCCTTGTCCAGCATGGGAGCAGGGTGCCTCCTACCTGGTCAACCCCTCATAGTCCGGCCTCCACGTCTCCACCTGACCAATGCTCGGGCTCTTCCGCCCCTGGAAGGGAGAGAGGAGAGTGCATGGACAGTTTACCTGCTTTATTGTCTGCAAGTCAAGTCTTAAATACTGGGTTTTCCTTGAAATTTTTTATGCATGTACATGCAGTTTTTTAAAGCCCACTTTTTGGATAGTGATAAACAGTTTGATTCTCTACCCAACAAGAAGCCATTGAAATTTGGATCCCCATTCAGTTAGTGAAGAGGACATTTTTTTCTTTTTTTGGCTGAATCTTACTGTTTTTCTGGTGTGTGTAAAGGATTTTTCCCCTCTTCATTCTCTCGCCTGCATGAGTAGTAGCTATAAGCTCTGTTATTGCTAGCGTGGCTGATGCAGAGCCATAATAGTCCTTTCTCTGGAGGCTGAAATGACTACTGTGGGCAAGAATGTGGCAGCTGTCCATATTGTCCTGACTGGACTGTTGTCTTTTGGAGAGTCAGCTCGGGCCGGCCACGTGAGCTGAGGTCTCAGCCACCCGCTGGCTGAGCTTCCTTGTGATGGTCGTGGTACCCTTTTCTCCTGTAGGAAGATGGAAACGTGTCCTCACTCGGGCTGCACGCACAGGAAAATGAAAGCCAGATAATCGAGGCTTGCAGAGTATTCTCAGACTTCATGTTGATGTGTGTGTCCTATAGTGACATGTGGTCCTCACCTTGATATGCCCACAGATCATGGGAGCTTGGTAGGAGTGTTATGTTCCCTACATGCTGTCCCCAGTTACTGTGTGCCTGGGGTTTTGAATAGTGTCCCCAGGAGATTCTGGTGTGTGTGGTCAGTGGACCCAGTGCTGTAGGAAGCAGGAAGGGGGCCGTGCCCTCCCCACAGCTCTCCCTGTCACCTGCCTTGAGGAAAATGAAGTGTATGCGAAGCATAAGAGGCTGCCAGACAGATAGTTTGAACTGCTATCTGGGCTGAAGTTTCAGTTCAATTCATTCAGCAGTATTTATTGATTATGACTCGATTGTTACAGTCAATATTGACTGACCTGTGACTGTTAGGTTTGGAGGCAGGGAGAGACGATTATTGCTGTTCCCTTATTGCTGGGCTTGATCCTGATCCCTGAAAAGCTACTGTCGAAATGTCTTGTTGGGTCGGGTGCACACCTTCGCGGCCCACACCAGCCTTTGCCGGGCGCCACAGAAGCAGAGCAGCAGAGAGACACGCGGGCTCTGCTCAGGGCCGTCCGCGCTGCTCTGAGCCGGAAAAGCCTCTTTTTCTCCTGTTATGGGCACTCTCGGTGTAGTAGGAATTTCCCCAGCCAGCTCTGGAAGCACATTTTTTTAATGGAATTCTTCTTGTCTCAAGGCTAGGGGCCTTATTCTAGCCTTGGAATTTTTTGTTTGTTTAGTTTTCTTCTGCTTGCTGATTTTTAGTCTATTTTCAGGCTCCACTGTCTTTTGAATTCTTGTATTTTCAGTGCCAGAATTTTTCTTCCCCAGCTTGACCCTGCAAACGTGGTGATTCAGCTGTTCCTTGATGGGCACCATCATAAGCCACTCTCAAAAAGTGCCATGATCCCAGCTCTGCCCGGGTGCCTGGGCCATGGGTAGGTGTGTCAGGAGAGCCTGGCTGCTCCCCACACTCGGGCAGCGGCCCGCTGGAGGCTCTGGAGGCAGTCAGTGCTCCATTTGTGTTTGTTGTTTGGCTGTTGCCCGCTTTCCTCCTCCCTGGGTGCTCTGCACAGAGCTCAGGGGTGCAGGTGATAGAAACATGCATTGCTGCTGGTTACAAGTGGGCTTGTGCAGCTGAGAGGTCCAAGGAGAGGTTCAAAGGATGGTCTGTCTTGCTCCTTCTGGCTGCTTGCTTGCTTCTGTGTCATCTTCAGACTTAGGTAAAGCCTGGCCCTGTAGTGGCTTCCAGCAGCTCAGCAACCTGCTGGCTTCCTAGTAGTTTCAGAGCCCATCCAGAGAGGTAGGTCTGCAGGAGGTCCAGTCTGGATGGTCAGTCGGCCCCTGATCTGGCCACTGTGGCTGGGGGCTGGTGGTGCTCCGACTGATGGGGTCTGAGCGGGCCTGCTCCTGGTCACTTCCCCTCTTTACAAGATAAGGCAAATGGATGTTGCACAGGCAGAAACAACAGATTCCATTTCTAGTAAAGATTCTTTGGCTTTAAGAACCTTCCCTAGTCCTGGGGACTAACTGTAGAAAGGTCAGTGTCCCAAAGTGAATAGTCTGTGGCTTTTGAGATGGAGTCTCCAGAGCTCCCCAGGGCTTTTTGGAAGACCTGGCAGAAATGCGCACTGCCCAATCTAAAGTTGTAACAATTGTGTAAACTCGCTTCATTCACCACTATGGTAAAATCCTTCTAGTAATTCCTGATAATAGTGTTAATGAAAAAACATTCAAACCTGTGAAGAATTTTTGTGAGTTTATTTGAGTCAAACTGTCGACAGTTGCCGAGAAGCAGAATTGGGAGAGTGCTCCGGAGAACGGCAGTTTTTCACCTTGTTTTATACATTGCGATCCAAAGAGGAGACATAAGTGGGTCACATGAAATCCACTGGTGACAGATTAGGGAGGCAGGAGAAAGCAAAGCGGAGAGTGGATAAAAAGTAAAATGATAGACACATGCTCCTTTTCCTTAGGTGGTGCAGGATAGTTAACAGTCAACAATTAACACGATAACAATAATAATGAAAAGATTTATGGTCTCTGTTCTGGTGCCCAGGTACATTTGGTTGTCTCCCAACGGAGAGGGGCGGGAGTTACAAGTTACTCTGACATTTCATAGGTGTGTTATCATAAATGCAAAAAGACAGGAGGCTCGGTTAAGGTAAAAATTGACCTTGTCAGGGAAAATACAGGCCTAGAACATGACTACCCACCATCACTGCTTTTAGTTGAAGTTTTAATTTCAGACATCCTTTGTGGTGACTTTAGGTCTTTAGGTTTGCAAGACCGCGACACGGGCCTTCCCCGAGCTGGTCAGGTCAGCATGTAGCCCCTATGTCCACAATAGAAATATTTCTAAAGGCATTTCTAGTTCCTGATGTCCTTAGTGGCATTTGTCCCTTCCATTGTCAGCATATAATTTATGAAAATGAGTCCTGCTACTTTTTTCTTTTAGTCTCTATCTTACAAAGTTTATTTTCCCTTCTTGTTTTGACAGTGTTCCCACCACTGCCCTCCCCATATCTGTCTTGGAGGTCCTAATAAATGGCTGCATGTTTGTGAACTTATCATATTCCCGTACGCTTGAGTGAAGAGCCCAGAAGGTAACGAATTACCCCGTTTAGTTACTTTTGCATGTACATTAGTTCAGGCTCGGCAAGTTGGAGAAAAGAAAACCGGCAAATTGAGAAGACAAGTTTGGAAAGTGGAGGAAATATTCATTCAAAAGCGAGTGAGAATGAAACACAATTCAGATTCTGGAACTAACACCGTGTGTGTATTTGAGGATGGTGTGTGTTTGGGGCTGGCTTTTGGGAGGAGATACCTGGCAGATGTTTTTGGGGAGGGGGAGGTGTTTACTTACTGCCCAATCTGAGGTTGAGAGGGTGATGTTTTAAAAATGGGAAAACGGAGGTCTGAGTAGGACAAGTGCGACAGAGCCACAGAACAGGGGTCCAGTCTTCAGCCTGGAGGAGCCTCGGAGAGCTGAGCCAGGCTGGCGCTGCTGTGGTCCCCCAGCCTTCTCACGTGTCACAGGTTCTTATGGATGGGATTGGAAGGCTTTTTGGTGTGTGTGTGTGTGTGTTTAATCCTCACCTGAGGATATTATTAAATTGATTTTTAGAGAAAGAGAAAGACATGGATGTGAGAGAGAAGCAGTGATTGGTTACCTTCTGTATGCGTCCTGTCTGGGGATCGAACCCGCCACTTAGGCATGTGACCTGACCTGGAATCAAACCCACAACTTTTTGGTGTACAGGATGACACTCTGATCAACTAAACCACCTGGCCAGGGCGGAATTGGAAGTTTTGATCTGCAAAGTCTTGGGTGAGGCGTGTAACCCATTTGGCCATGAAAATAGTTTCTCAAAGGTGCCTTTGGGTGTTTTATCCTACCAGGAATTTCTTTTTTTTTTTAAAATGTGTTTTTATTGATTTCAGAGAGGAAAGGAGAGGGAGAGAGAGATAGAAACATCAATGATGAGAATCATTGATCGGCTGCCTCCTGCCCGCCCCCTACGGGGGATCGAGCCCACAAGCCGGGCATGTGTCCTGACCGGGAATCGAACCCTGACCTCCTGGTACATAGGTTAAATACAAACCACTGAGCAATGCCAGGCCTATAGGGAATTTCCTATCTCCAGATCTCAGCCTTCCCACCATTTGTTAGTCCTGAAAGTGGCTCTTGTCTATAGCTTTAAGAAAATGGCATTATATATATTTTAATATAACAAACATTTTATTAGCTTTTTCCCCCCTTGAAGCCTATTTCAGAGACTGCTAACAGATGTCTCTGCAGGTGGAGCCTGTGAGGGCCGCCCTGCCTTGGTCTGCAGCCCATTTCTCTTCCCAGCCTGTCTGTCAGCAGGAGCACCCTGACCCTTGCTCACAGGCACTCTGCCCTCTCTTTGCTACCAAAGGCCTGGGAGACTCTGGGGTGCCCTGGCTGCGCCTCGTGGCCTCTCCCTAGTGTTTCTGGGAGGACGCCAGGTCCAGCTGTTCTGGTCCACCCCCCAAGGTGGCAGGACTAGAGAAGGGCAGCAGAGCCCAGCGTACCATGTCTCCCTCAGGAAATTGTGGTGTTTTGTGTGTTTTTCATTATATTGTCAACCATTTGGGGCCTTTTTTCCAGGATGGCTTGCTGTCATGCTTTACTGAAGCTGCTTTCATACCTGGAGGAAGGTGATCCCAGCTCTACCTGCTTCTTCTTGAGAAGTGGGACAGTCTGACCTGCTGTGCGCCAGATGGAATAACAAAGGACGTGCCATGTTCCTGGCACATCGCACAGCCCCTGGGTATTAAGTACCTCCAAACGTTACTGCTGATTTTGACGTGTGTGCTTTAGTCTGGGAGATGCTTATTAAAAATCAGAGTCTTCTTTTCTTTCCGAGGCCCACCCTACCTCTGCCAGCACCGACTGTTGCTGTGAATGAAAACAATTAAAATCAAGTGTGCGGTCACTGTGAGAGTTTCTATGCCTGGTCCTTTGGCAAGCCTGAGCAGATTCGGGAGAGCCACCAGGTAGTGGAGAGGCACAATATCCCTGCCTTCAGCTGGAGCTCCGTTCTGTGGAGGCAGAACTCTTGTCACATTGGAGCATAGGGAGAGGTCGCATTAGCCAGAGCAGATGTACTGATTGTCACCGGGGTGAGATTTTACGAGCTGTCTTTCTTATTTGTATTGCAGCATGTGATGAGTGATGGCTGATTGCATGTCCTCTGGCTTTCCCCCACCCCACATCTTTTGTTGACTTATTCTTTTGGCTGCCCATTGCCTGTCTGAGGCTTTTGATAAAGGTGGGGGTCATGCATTGTTTGTCTGGCAGAAGCCTTGCAGCAGCTTGATAGAGAGTAAGGGCATGAGGAGGGGAGAAGAGAGGAGAGCTAGCCTGGTGGTGGCCTTAGTCAGCTCCAGGCTTCAGGTTCCTTATCTGTACGAGGGGAAGAACAATCTTTACCCAGAAGGTTTTCATGAGTATTAAGTGAGACAGCCTGGCCCGAGAGGCGCAGCAGGCATAGGTTGGGGATGGGGCAGTGGGTGGTTGGGGACGGGGCAGTGGGTGATGGGCAGCTTTGTCTGGCAGTCCCTGGAGTCTCCTGGACTTTTCCTCATTTTATAAATGAGGAGTAACCTATGTCACTACTTCCTGTTTATCCCCTCAGGTCTCTTCAGCTTTGAAGACCATACTGAGGGTAATTTCTGGCAAAAGTCCTTCCCGTGCCTGCCTTTGCAGCACTAACAGCCAGCTGAAGTGGTGGCTCTGGCTTTGCATTTCAGATCCCCTCTGCTCCCTCCCCTGGCAGACTGTGGCCTTCCTGAGGAAAGGGACATTGTTTTCAGTCTGTTTCATAAATTTATTCAACAGGGTTAAATGATGTCAGGCACAGTACTAGGTGCTGGGTATTCATTGGTGAAAAGACTAATGGGTCACCAACCTTGTGGACCAGTGCCCATTGTCGGAGACATGGTTCTCACTCTAGCTCAGTAAATGTTTCTTTTCTGGAGAGGGAATAGACATGTTTGTGGCACAGGGCTGGGTGAGCCAGTTCATGCAGAACCCTGAGCCTCAGTTTTCTCCTCTGGAAATGAGGGGGTTGGGCTAGAACCAGATTATTTCTGAGCTGCATTATACAGCTCGGGCCAGATGCTGCAGACTCGAAAGTCTAGCCATGCTCTAGAAGAGTAGTTGGCAGCCGTTATAGTCAGGAGAAAAGAGTTGCTCACGGAGAAATCCCTGGGCAGTTTGAAGCATGTGGACCAAAGCCAAATGTTAAAGGTATAGAGAGTAATTTTGTGTATAAGATATACTGAGATGAGAGGCTTTCTTATTCCCAAAGATAATTTACAATCAACCTTTCCCAACATTGCTTCTGCAGTTGGCTTTTGCCGTGCAATGAAAAGACAACCCATAGAAGAGCCATTTCAATGGAAGCATTTTGAAAATAGAAAATAATCATAATGTTTACTTCCTTTCTTCCAAAGGCTTAACTTTTAACCTGTCATACTGATCTTTCCGTTTGAGAGAGATGGGATCTCTTTCATCCTCGGGAGGCTGGAGTATGTCCAGTGTGCCCCTGACATGCCCCAATCCCTGCTGTTGACAGAGTGGCTGCCCTGAAGCTGCCTGCTGTCACGGCGCTCCTGCACAGTGAGTGTTTGTCTTTCTTTCTCTAGGTCATGGCTTCCAGCTTCTCAGGGCTGAGTCTCCAGCAGAGGAAACAGAAATGACTGTTGGGGGCCGTGCTCCAGGTCTGTCACGAAGACTGAGCCTTCGCACGGGGCGAGCCTGCTCAGGACAGGAGCGTCTCTCTCTTTGAAGGGCTGTACGTCCGTTACAAAGAAAATAAAGATGACGACTTCGTCAATCAGACGGCAAATGAAAAACATTGTGAACAATTACTCAGAAGCCGAAATAAAAGTGCGGGAAGCCACCTCCAATGACCCCTGGGGCCCGTCCAGCTCCCTGATGACCGAGATCGCGGACCTGACCTACAATGTGGTGGCCTTCTCGGAGATCATGAGCATGGTGTGGAAGCGGCTCAATGACCACGGCAAGAACTGGCGGCACGTGTACAAGGCCCTGACGCTCCTGGACTACCTCATCAAGACGGGCTCTGAGCGGGTGGCCCAGCAGTGCCGAGAGAACATCTTTGCCATCCAGACCCTGAAGGACTTCCAGTACATTGACCGCGACGGCAAGGACCAGGGCATCAACGTGCGTGAGAAGTCGAAGCAGCTGGTGGCCCTCCTCAAGGACGAGGAGCGGCTGAAGGCTGAGAGGGTCCAGGCCCTCAAAACCAAAGAGCGCATGGCCCAGGTTGCCACTGGTGTGAGCAGCAACCAGATCACCTTTGGCCGCGGCTCCAGCCAGCCCAACCTCTCCACCACCTACTCGGAGCAGGAGTACGGCAAGGCTGGGGGGTCGCCAGCCTCCTACCACGGCTGTGAGTAGTAGGGATGTGCCTCACCCTTTGCCAGTAGCGCTGGGCAGCAGGTGGGAGGGGCCCTTGGGCTGAGCGAGGTGGTGCGTCATCTCAGCTTCTGGCCGCCCAGACAGCAGTATTCCCTTGTCGGCACTGAGTTACTGTGACAAAGGGGCTTTCGGCTTGTGACTGCTTTGGCTCCAGTGTCTCAAGAGCCTCTGCTTCTGCGTCTGCTTCTGTACATCTAGGCAGGACTGCCTTCGGCAGAGGGGAGGAGGCAGGCCTCCTCTTTCCTCGTGGGAAGGGCCGCAGTGAAGGGCTGCCTGCTGCACACACCAGTGGGGCGTTGACTGTACGTGGTAGCTGGGAGGAAACAGGTGCTTTTTCTGGATAATCTTGTTTCTTTAGTCTCATATTGTTTTTCTAATGACTGGGCTACAGGTCTCCTGACCGGCTCAGTGTACTTTCTACTTTGGCATCAGAGGGCACGAGATGGTATGTCTCTGTGTCACTGAAACAAGGCCTCCGCAGGTGTTCCTGTGGGCAGCGGCTCCTTTCCCACCTGCAGATGAGAGTTCGTGGTGCTTTGTTGGCATGGCCGGGCCTGTACTGGGGGGCTGTGTCCTCGTTTTGCATGTCGGATCACCCTTGGCCCAGTGTTCAGAGGAGTTGGCAGGGAACAGAAGTGGAGTTTGGGCCTGATGGAAGCTGGCCGCTGTGAACAGTGTGGCATCCTGGCTGCTCACTGAAAGGTCCCAGGAATCGCTCCTTGGCCTTCACAGTGCGGTGTAGAGACAGGTGGCCCGGTGGCCTGGGGGTGGGCTGCAGTGGAGGATGCAAAAATAAAAGTATAGGTCCCCATACTCTTTCTTTCTGGAATCAGTAACACTTAGGTCAGCTTTTTTTTTTAAAGGAAGTTGTTTGTATTTTGACAAACCCGCCAACCCTTGCTTAATCAGTGGTCTGCTAACATTTCCTGCTTTTTTGCAGGTTTCAATTTGACATTGCACAGCCACCGGTAGCATTTTGAGACATGTGTCAAATAGGAAATTTGCATAGTAAAGTCAAACGCCCTGCCTCTAGAAATTGTAAATTATTGCCAAGCTGGGAGAGATTAGCGTTTTCTTGTCCCGTCAGTTCCTCACTTAGTTTGAACTCTGCTTAAGCAAAGGTTGTGACTTTCATGAAAGCCTGCATCTTGGAAAAAATATAACCTGCATCTCCAGAGGTCTCCTTCCAGGCTAGGGTGCCCAGAAAATAAAGACTGCCCTTCAGGAGAGAAGTTGTTTGTTTCTCTCAAGTTACCTGTCTCCATCCCCCAGAAAGACCTGCAGTGGGTTGAATTGGTCTCTAGTCCCGTTGGCTTCCTCTTGGGAAGTGGCTGTCGTTGTGCTGTGTGGCCACAGGGAGCTGCTCCTCTCTCTACCTGCCCTTCGCAGTCCTTGTTCCCAAGAAGCCAGAGGCTACAGAGCGAGGGGCTGGACTGGTGCTGTGTGTGGGATGCTCCAGGAGCAGGGGAGAGGTCATGGAGCGGGCAGGTGGGTGCCTGGGTGGGGCCTCTCACCACGGGTCCTGCCGGCCTGACACTGGGCTGCCTGCTGCTGCCAGCTCGACGGTTTCTGGTTCCCTCAGGGCTTGAGCTTGAGCAGCATGTTCAGGGTCAGAATGTGGTGGGTCAGCAGGCTGTTCACTGCCTCTGAGAATGCCAGGCAGGCATTGGCCTCCGCTGGAACCTCTGCCACTCCCTCTCCCTCTAATGGCCTGTCTTTTTCTGTGTGTGTGTGTATGTCCCTGCCCAACAGCGCCCGAGACCTCGCTGTGCTCCCAGCACCGCACGGGGGTCCCGCTGGGTCAGAGCGAGGAGCTGCAGCCGCTGAGCCAGCATCACCCCTTCCTGTCGCACCTGGGGCCGGCCTCCCCCCCAAATGGTGACTGGTCCCAGCCCTGCCTCACTTGTGACCGCGCAGGCCGAGGTGGGACGGCAGTTTGGTTTCTCCTTCCTAGAAATGCTGGGCAGCTTGCTGGGGGGTGCGTGTCATGTCAGTACAGCCAACTCTCTCCCTGTGTCCTCTGGACTCGTGGCCCAGCCTCCAGGAGACCCAGGGCCCTTTCTTCCTCTCCCCCAGGAGCTCAAGTCCTGGTCGTGCTCCCCTCATGCTGCCTCAGGTCACTTGCTAGAAATTCCGCCCACGGCTTAAGAGGGGAGCTGCTGTTGGGTCAGGCACGGGCGGCTGTCCATGCTCCTGTGTCCCGTGCCCTGAAGAACGTGGAGGGCTTTCCTGCCTGCAGACCCAGGTGCCGTGCAGGCCAGACCACGTGGCTTGTTGAGCCGGGAAGGTGTGGTTACGTCTCCGGGTGGCAAACCAGGGGCTCGGCGGGTGGTCGCTGGAAGCCATCGTCCTGGATGCAGTGACACGAGCCTCCTGAGGACAAAATGGGATTGTTTTTGTTTCTCAATTAACTGCTGTTCTTCCTAAGATCCCCATTACAGTGGTGAACAGAGAGTTAGCTGTACTGTCGGTTCTAGGTCACAGTGTTTGAAGATACCTAATTCAATGGGTGATTAAAAATGGGGCTTCTCTTTTGACTAATTAATAATGTATCCTGGTCAGAGACAACAACTGTTGCAGGTTCAACCGAAAACAGATTTTGCTGTTGCCTACAGGAAAATGCTATCTACCTGCCCTTGGTCCCCAGTGGGGCCCTGCCACAGAGAAGAAAGCTTTATTAGAAGGGTGCCAACAAAGAGCCTCTGTGAGCCTCCAGGAAGGTGTGGCCAGCCTGTATTCAGGCTGGAGACAGGGACTGTTTATTCCTGCCTCATTAATACTGCAGCGTTTGGATGTGGGCGTTTGTGTGGTCACTGTATTTAGCTCTGGGACGTTTTCCTTTGTGCCCCCATCTTCCTCAGACCGTTTACAGAGGGCTCTGTAAGGAGGGCCAGCATGGCACAGTGTTCCCCAGGAGCTCCGAGTGTGCTGAGCTTCAGGCTGCCTCCCACCAGACCTTCGGGCCGTTCCCGCAGGCCCCGAGCGCCCAGAACTCCAGGATCTCCCTTTGTGTTCCCCAGGTTCTACCATTTAGTAACCAGCAGGTCTCTGGTGAGTCTCTGTCAGCTTGTATTCACTGGCCCTCCAGCTCTCCTGTGGCGGCTGCCTCTCCTGGGACCTGGCATCAAAATCAGGCTGACACGCTCCTTCCCCCCTCCCACTCTGCCAGGACCAGACACCCTGCTCCCCCAGGCCATCTGCCTGCCGCCCCTCTGCCCTGCAGTTCCCACCACGGGGGCCCCGCATATCTGGCAAGGTGCTCAGGGCATGCTGCCCCGGTGGGTTTCTCTTCTCCTTCAGCTCTGGTAGGAATTAAGGATAAAATGAGTTTTATTTATTTTTTTGAGGATTTCTCCCACCCTAGATGAGCTTTGGGCGAACAGGTGTTACATGGTGTCATGTGTCATGCTTCACCGTGTGTGCATCCCTCTCTACACTTCACACGCTCCAGGACAGGGCTGTGGGGGCAGGGCTGTCCCGTGAGTCCTGTCTCTTCTTTCTTAGCACCTGGCGAAGTGCTGAGTGGCAGCCTTGCTTTGGAACCCAGCAGTGGAGAAGTCAGACTGAGAACCAGCATTCCCTGGGCTCATGAAGTGCAGGCTGGGATTCAGGGGGACATGTGAGAGCACACTTGGGACCCAGACCCCTCAGGGGAGGCCCAGTAGGCACGGTGCAGACCAGGGCGGATGCAGGGAAGGCAGTTGCGAGAAGACCCCTTTGTGGGGAGGCTCTGGCATGGTGGCCGCTGTTCGCACCCCCAGTAATCACGGTCGTTTGAGGAGAGCTTCCTTTTCCTACCATACCCATGTCCCCTCCCTGTGCGCCCTCCCTCCCTCTCCTCCCACAGACATCTATAGGCCTCGTCTCAGAAACCTCTCCAGTGCTGTCCTTCATCTCTGGTTCCATGTCCTCAGTTCCCTGCCAGCTTCCTGGTTGGCTTCTTCCCCATTCTTATCCGCCCCCTCCCCCCACCTTATACATCAGGTTCTGATTTCTGATCTCAGAAAGCTCCTCTGGATCCCAGGGGTCCCCAGAGGGCCCCGCTCAGCCTTTGGCGTGGCGGACAGTCCCTCCCTGGTGGTCCTTGGTTGCCCCCTGCCAGCTTGAGCCTGCTGAGGTCTGCCTTGGGCACCTCTCTGGGTGAAGCCTGCCCCAGCTGCACTCCGGCTCCCACGTTTCCTTGTTCATTCAGCAACTATGTATTCAGCTCCCACTGTGTGCCAAGCACTATGCTAAGCACAAGGCAGGGGCCCTGCCACTACTAATGGGAAGAGAGACAATAAACCTCAGACATTATTCAGCCTGTTACATGGTGAGTGCTTGGTAAAACAGCAAACAAAACCCACAACAGCCCAGCCTTGGCTGAAGAACAGGGAAGGTGGTCTGGAGGGTGTCAGAGCAAGCCTCTTTGAGAAAGTGATGCTGGAGCAGGGCTTGAAGGAAGAGGAGGAAGGAGCTGTTGAACATCTGGGAAGGCCGTCCAGGCAGATGGCGGGAGCCGCAGTGCAAAGGCCCTGAGGTGGGCATCTGCTCAGGGTGTCTGTGGAGCAGGAAGGGGAACAGGAAGGCGGCCAGTGTGGCTGGAGCTGGTGAGGGAGAGGGGTGGGTAAGGTCAGGGTGGGAATACAGCAGAGGCGGGCCTGGAGAAGGGGTAGGTCCACTTGTCAAACTGAATCAGGCAGGGAACAGTTCTTTCCATCCCTAATCCATCTCAGACTGGTACTTTTGTATCAGTGTTTCGGTTTGTAGCAATGTCAAGTTGCTATAAAAGTCTAAGTTCTTTCTCTGCCTGTCCTTATGCTGTCCTGCGCCGTATGCTAACTAGACTGATGGTGGGCTTTTGGGTCATTGCAAACCCTTTGGCTTTTACTCAGTGAGCTGGGGAGGCATGGGTGGGTTTGGAACTGAGGAGGGACTTGATCCGATTTAGGGATGAAAAGGCTCAGGAGGACCCTCCAGCTATGTATGAAGCAAAGTGGGCCCAGGAAAGCCAGTCAGGAGGCCACTGCCCTCATCCAGGTGGGAGACGATGTGCCTCGATCTGATGGGGGGCTGTGGAGGTCTGGGTGTGTCGTGACCAAGAGGGATAAGAGTGATGAGACTTGCTGCAGGACTGGACCAGGGGACAGCTCTGATGACTGTTGTCCCCTGGCGAGAGGGCGGCTGTTAGAAGAGCAGGTGTGAGCAGAGCGGGACTGTTTCTGGACATGCTGATGTGCCTAGCGGGCTCGCAGGTGGAGAAGTGGAGGAGGCCTGAGAAGTCTAGGGCGTAGGGAGCATTCCGGGCTGAAGGTGCCTCCTGCACTCTGGCCTCCCCTGCACTCACATGGTTTCATTGTTCCTGGTTGCCCCCCCATCGAGGCTGGCTCCTGGGCCCACCTGTGTTGGCTGCCTCACTTGGTCATGGGGAGTAGTCAGAACTGCTGTGCAGGTGAAGCTGTGGGGCCCTGAGGTGGTCTCTCGGGTTGTGAGGGGTTGGGTTTTGCCTAAGACAATCCAGACAGGGTAGCCAGCTTGTATGGAGCGAACAGCCCACCTGTCCCCCTTAGGCTGTGGGAAAATTGTAGATGTTCTTGGGGTGGCGGGAACCCATATCAAAGGCCCCACACGGGTTGGGAGAATTGTCCCTGTGAGTCAAGCTGGAAGCCTGGAATGTAGAGATTGCTGCTGTCTTCTGACATGATGCTCGCCCCCTTCCTGGGCCTCGGTTGGCCCCCACAGAGGGAGGGCTCATGAGAGGAGAAAAGGCCCACTCACTGCCTCATCTCCCTTTGTGGGCTCCCGCGTCAGTGTCCCAGCCAGGCCCGCACTCGCCTTGCTGCAGCGTGACCGTGACTGTGACCCTGTGGCTGGGGCCTTGGGTTTCTGGGTGTCAGCATTCCCATTCTCAGGAAAGGTGAAGTGGAAGGAAGGGGGAGGCTAGAAATCCTCACTGCTCTCTGATTCCTTCAGGTTGATGAGGACCAACCTGAGGCCCCAGAACCCAGTGGGCAGTGGCGTGCTTTGCATGGGGTGGGTGCTGCCATCTGTGGCCCGGTCTCGCAAGCTGCCCTGATGAACCCCTGCTCGGTTGACACCTTCAGCACTCTGGCCGGTGCAGAGAAGCCGTCCGTGGCGGGGGTCAGGTCTGCTCCCAGGGTCGTCAGTGCTCCCTTCAGGCCAGGCTTCCATTGGGGCCGGGAGCCTGCACACAGGGCCGGTCGCCTTGCGCACCATTGGCAGTGATTCGCCACGTTTATTTCATTTAAGAAAGCATTGCAGTTGGCAGTGTCAGAGGATTAAATAGATACCAGGAAAAAAATGGGCAAAAGGATAATAAGGATAAGAAAATAAGACAAGGCCAGGGTCACACATAACTGCTGGAGATTTGACTTTGAACTTCTCAGCCACCAGCACCAAAAAGGACAGTTTCTCTTTAGTTGCTGAACAAGAGTCAGGATCCAGATGAGGTCCTCGGAGGCCAAGCGCTCCCTGTGAGGAGAGGCAGGCCCTGAGCCCAGGCCCTCGCGGGAGCACTGGGCTCTCTATCCTGGCTGCATCCCATGGTCTGCACGCAGTCTCTCGCCGGGAATGGAGGGGTGGATGGCTCTCCCACTCCCTGTGGAGATCAGACATTCTTAAACTCATTAAAGAGATTCTGAAGGCTGTTGTGTGCATCGTTTCCCACGTGGGTTTGAGAAGGCCCTGGAAACAGCCTGCCCTCCGGGGCTCCAGGAAAGCTGGTCTCTGCAGCACCGGACGTCAGGGGTGACTGACACCGTGGCACCGGCTCTACCCGCATACGGCAGAGGAGCGCGTGTACACACGCAAGAGAGCATGTCCGAAGAATCAGGCATCTGAGAAAGGGAGTCTTATATAAGTGTGTTTGAAAATTTGAGGATGTGGGGAAATATTAATTGCTTTAAAACAAAAATCAAACCTAG